TTTATATTAGGGAATAAAACATAGGAAAAAAGCTGTTTTAGACAGAAAATTATCTATAGATGCTTTAAACTGAAGATTATATACAGAACAGTGAAAGAACAAGAGAAAACAATAAGGGCAACAGCAGGGCATTTGAAAGTCTACTTCAGGTTTCAAGAATAGGTGGTTAGATTCCCCAGTGCCTTTCAATAGAATAAAAGGTAATCAACAGCTAGGACACCTGTTCCAAAGGATGTGAGAGAGGAAACAGAGGATAGCTATAGGAACTAGGGGTAGGACTGGCTTGAAAATTTGACTCAAGGCTATGCTTGCATTTTTAATTCTATTCTGTTAACATGAGATATCACAGGTGGTGGGGATTTGGTATAATAATATGATATATTATGTGTATACATATATATTGCAAGTGTAATTGTCAGTTGTGCTTTTAAATGTGTACTGTCACTGCAAAGGGACAGTTATCACTCTAGGGGATAACATTTGAGAAAGCTCCCCTGTGAAGAAACACTGACCACATCAGAAGTGGCAGCTTAACCAGAGGTAACCAGGGGAATCTGAAAATGATGATGAGTTTGGTTTCCCTTTCCTAGGAGCAATACATCTTCATTCATGATGCATTGGTTGAAGCAATACTCAGTAAAGAAACAGAAGTCCTTGAGACCCACATTCACGCCTATGTTAATGCTCTCTTGATACCTGGACCAACAGGAAAGACCAGACTGGAGAAACAATTCAAGGTGAGCTCTCTGAGATAGTAACACAAAAATCTTTATGTTTGCAAGCCTGAATTACTTAAAAGTAGGTATCTCAACACAACTTCCATTAGCTTTCTGAACACAACTTTCATTAGCTGCTGAACCTAAATTCAGATTAATTTAACAAATGCATGCAGTCAGTTGTGACAGAAGAATTATTTGCTTACTCTTAAACAAAGGATCTACAAAAAAAAAAAGGCCAATAAGTAGATTTTGGAAGATCTAACTATGTACCTTTGCAGGAAGATCTTAAAGGTAAAACAACAGTCTGGAACGATGTCATTGTAACAATAATGTCATGAGCTATATTGATCAATCAGTGTATTCCCCTCAGTGTACATCACTGGTTAAAGACAGACTCCACCTTCAAAGACATTTTCATTGATCTAAGATTCAAGAGTCATTTGAACTGCTAAGAACAGTGAAGAAAAAAATTCTGATGACTTTCTAAGTAGTTTAGCCAGATAACTAGATACCTGTGATAAACAAAGTCTCAAGTTTCTATAAGTTTTTGAATAGGAGTTTATTATATGGTAAAAGCAAGCAGCCGGCTGGGTGACAGAAGTGGGGACAAGTTTCCCAAATCTGCACCCCTACTACAGTGTATATTTGGCATTTATCTTAGCTACTTCATGCATATTAATTATATCATATACATATACATTTTACAGTTTTTTGCTAAGTATTTAATATATGGGTTTTCTTCCAGCTAAAGCTAAATGGTTATCTTTACAACCGGTCATAATTCATGCATTCTTGGATGAACAGGCGCCTAAAAGATTTAAAGTTCTACCATATTTTATTCTTAGGATAGTAGGGAGGTTTTAGGACCCCTTGACCTTGTAAGGGTCTGTTTTATTTCTTTATGGGGGTGTAATTAAGTTTTACAATCCGCTTGTTTTATTTTGATGTAATCACCCATTTGTTTCATGAATCACAATTATTTATCACAATACCTAAAGTTAAGAGAGACACTGAACCTGCAATATGTGCACCCTTCTTTTTAGTGCAACTTGTGAAAGAATGGCTTTTATCTAGTTACCTGAGTTCTTTTACATTTCATTGTTTCAGCTACTGAGCCAGTCTAACACACAGCAGTGTGATTATTCAACTGCACTCAAACAGTGTAACAGAGAAAAGAACCGAACTTCATCTATCATTCCTGGTAAGTTTGTTCAAATTGTCTTCTCTGGGTGGCAAAATGTTTATGAACCTTGTGTGTCAAACCTTCAAAATTTCCTCAACAAGAACTGAAGACATCTGCATTTGTGTGGAACAATGTTCTGTAAAGTACTTATAATGAAGAAGTGATTTAGGAATTACACATAGAAAAACAAAATAGATGGCTGGATAGCATTTCAGTGATGAAGATTGATGGAGCTTAGTGTTATCATCACTGTGAGATATGTGAAATAATCGCTGTAATGTTATAAGAGTCATTGCAACATACTTACCAATTCATAACTTTTTTTTACAGTGGAAAGATCTAGAGTGGGTATCTCATCACTGTCTGGTGAAGGGACAGACTACATCAATGCTTCCTATATTATGGTAAGTCAGTTAACATATTGGTGAAAAATAATGCATAGCTGTTTTCAGAGCTGCCATGTGTCTGAGTTAGGATGGCACAATCCTGATTTTGAAAGCTCCTTTCTTCCATTATTCACTCCGCCTGAAAGAGTTACTTCCCCCAGGAAATACTATTACCATTATTACTGGGTTTAAGTTTGGTTAAGTGCATTGCATTTTAACAATCTGTAGAAATAGAAATCCCATCATAGTTTTAAAACCTGGTAAAGCTAAATGCCACCTATGGAAGGATCTTGTGAGATAAATTAAAAGTACTAACTAACAAGTTAGTTTTTAATGACTGTACTGTGATTTGCCTTCCTACCTGCTCGTCTTACAGAGCCTTTGCAACTAGCATAGCCCAAGACACCATAGCTCATCAGCTTTCCATTATCTTTTGTTCTCTGGGTTTTCTTCAACATTTTGCCCTTCATTAGGTGAGAAGGAGGAGTTAATGCCTCCTGGACATTCAGGAAAGAGATGGGAAAGCTCTCTGCAGTGGTATATGTACATGATCCTATATCAGGTGCATTAATGCAAAGGAACTCTCTTTTGTGGTAAGAAGTTAATTTGAGACATCTGTACAAATTAAGAAACTGCTTGGAATTTTTGCAGATCTTTCATGTATTCTTATATTTGTTTCAGGTAGTCAGCTCCTCTGAGTTGGCCATTCGAGTCTCCTCTGTCTCTTTTATCCTTCTTTTATATTTTTTTTTTAGGTTTTAAAAATTATTTCAGTGTAATTGAATTTATTCCTTTCATGTGGAAAACACTGCAATGGAAGTTTTATTTTTTTCTAATATTTGCAGGAAACCAAAGAAGACACAATTGTGCAATGTATTTTCTAGACTTCTGGTCCACTAGAAGCTTCCTTTAAGCATTAATAGTTGGGCATCAATTCTGAGTCTGTTGATTTTTTTTTTTTCAGGGTTATTATCAAAGTAATGAATTCATTATTACCCAGCATCCCTTACTACACACTATCAAGGATTTCTGGAGAATGATATGGGACCATAATGCCCAGCTAATAGTCATGCTTCCTGATAGCCAGAATATGGTGAGTTTTGTGGCTGATGGTTATGGGTTTATGCGTGAATTTTACTAGTATTACCATTTTGAAATATGCAAGACATGAGAAAACAACTTGGATTTTGAAAAAAAAAACAAAAAACAATTAAAAATTAGCAATATTGAACTGAGTGTAAAATCCCCAAACAATCTAGTGGAAATCTAGGGATCCTTATCTGGGCAGATTGTGATTGGCACGAGAGCCAGGAGCAATGGTGGCCAAGCATTCCCTCATATATGAAAGAAGCCCCTGGGGAGAGTGAGTGGCCAGGAGCGCTGCCAGCAGCATGGGCACACAGGGCCTGGGGTGGCAGTTCATGCAGAAGAGTGTGCAGGAAGGGCACTGAAGCCCTGCCAGCTTGACCAGGGAGCAGCGGTATCAACCTAGCATACAACTGTGGTCTTTCTGAGCTCTGCATTCACCTCGACTGGAATCCTACTCTACCCTCCCTGAAACACATCTGACAGGCAGACAGGACACATCGCAGGGAGGTTTCCCTATCCATCTGACCATTTTGGTCATTCAAACTATTACAGGATTTTCTTAAATAAAAAACAACTCTCTTCATCATTTCTGCTGTCAAACAGAAAGGATGCTCTTATGAGAACTTCGGCCTGCACTTTCAGATAATCCCAAGACCACTCAAGTGCTGCCTGCAGGCTCCTATGTTACAATATACCAGCTAAGTTTATCCTGTGGCCATGGCCTGTGCACTGCACAACAAAGCACAGGACAGCCTGAAGGCCAGGCTGGATGCATGGCACATTGTAGCACAGCAAGTTGACTGCTATGTGGATCCACAGGGTACAGTGGTCTTTGGTCAGGATCACTACAGAGATGTCTGAAAACCATCACTTGCCATGATTGTAATCCTGATCAAGTTTTGATTTGTCGGTTTAAATCTAGTTGGCTGGATTGATAATATATGACACAGTATTTATTATGATGGATTTTGTATTTTAAGAACTCAACATTACTTATCTTTATGTCTCCTTTTTTTTTTTTTTTTTTTTTTTTCTGGAGGCTGAAGATGAATTTGTATACTGGCCAAACAAAGATGAGCCTATAAACTGTGAGACTTTCAAAGTCACTATGATTGCTGAAGAACACAAGTGTCTGTCTAACGAGGAGAAGCTCATAATCCAAGACTTTATTTTAGAAGCTACACAGGTAACACTGTCATAAACATATAACTTGATTTGTTAAAGATAATGCCTACATTTTTTTACATTTTCTATGGTAAATGAGTGATAAAAACCCATGCCCTAGAAACACCCCTGGGGGAAGTAACCTCTGTAGGTAATATGATCGCATGGGGAATAGCATATTCCAACTTCCACAGCAGTGGGATTCTGTATCTGGAGGCTGGAGCCAGTCTGGACCAGGGTGAAGGAAAAGAATAAAGACAATAGTTTACAAAATTGATTTGTGTTTGGGGGTTTTTTTCTCGTTTAGGATGACTATGTACTTGAAGTGAGGCATTTTCAGTGTCCAAAATGGCCAAATCCTGATAGTCCTATTAGTAAAACTTTTGAACTGATCAGCATCATCAAAGAGGAAACTTCCAACCGTGATGGGCCCATGATTGTACATGATGAGTAAGAACTGCTGCTTTCTGTTTGTTTTGATGTTTTTCTGTAGAACTATCATTTCACCTCATTTAGAGTGAAAGCTGCTGAAACAAGGCATGAAGTCTGCACTTAACAGCAGTGCTGCTGCTTCTGTTTCAGCTGCATCAAAAAGAGAAACATTTTTATTGTATCATACTTCATTTCAATTTTATTATTGCCATACTTTGGATAGTTATCAGGTAGAACATTGGAAAGGAAATCAGTCAGGACCTCATTTTCTTACTAAAAGACATAAGGCTGTTTAGATGAGGCACCTTACCCTTCTCCAACTGTTCAATAATGACAAAAAATACTGAAATGTTGAAATACTGAAGGACCCAAGGCCTTCAAGATTTGGCTAGAAGGGGATTGTAGAAAAATAACTCTAAGAAGTTCTGGCCAGGTGCCATGAAAGTTTTGTTAAGCCACTGCTGGGCAGACCCATTTCAGAAATTGCAAAGATCACATGACAGAAATTCATCTTATCTGTTTACCCTGGATTTTGTATTTTCTCCAGCTGTAAAACTTGATCCAGTGTCTAGAGATTTTTGTTTTGTTTTACTTTACAAGGCATGGAGGGGTGACAGCAGGAACTTTCTGTGCATTGACAACTCTGATGCATCAACTGGAAAATGAGAATTCAGTGGATGTTTACCATGTAGCAAAGATGATAAATTTGATGAGGCCTGGAGTCTTTACAGACATTGTAAGTAATAGGCAAAATGTGTGCATTTTTTTCCCATATGTGACATTATTAGCTCTAGATCTTAGAGCAACATTACTGAACCACTAACATCTTAGTTTCTGCATGGGTTATTCAAAACTGTCTTGCAGAGGTGCTGTAGTGGACCTGCTGCCTATTCCAAAACAAAGAATTTCCTGTGAAAACCTATTTTGTGGTTATAAAGTGGTGATATTCAAAATGTGCAGAGCTGCTGCCATGATCATAAAATCTGTATTATGTCATGTAAACTAAGGTTTTAATTTGTCAGGAATAAATTTGTGCTGCAGGTAGACCCTAAAGTAGTTACCCTAGTTTTCAACTTCAGGATGGACCTTGATCTTTCATGATCTGTTGAATTGTCACTTGACACCATTGTCACTGTTCCTGCAGGAAGGAAAAAAAAATGTGAAAAGTATAAAGTATAGTAAATAAGAATTACTTGCTAAGGCAGTGTCCTACAAATTAAAATTACACAGAAATAAAAATTATGAATCCCACCTCTTTGGTCATATCATTACACACCCGACTGCTAGAGTTACAAATGAGTGTAATAAGGAGAACACTTTAGGAGTAAAATGTTTGGGTTAGCATTATCCAATTTTTGACAGCAAAAAGAGAACATAACACAGGATTGACAAATGTGTCCACACCTTGCCCTGCCTGGGTAGCCCAGAATGAGGAGACTGGCAGACAATGGAGTGAAAGTGGAACTCTTTTGACCTCAGAAGAACCATCAGGACATTTCACTCCTCTTTCCCCAGGATCTTAGAGCAAATACCTAGGTCCTTTATCTTAGATTCCAGATTCCCATCCTCTTCCTGCAGATTTTCAAATGTGTGGCTCTTTCTACCCCATATCTCTTAACCCAAGCTAATAGTTCAGACCCCAAATCCCACCCTATTTAGTCTGACTTACTGTTCCACACTCCTTCCCTCACAGAAATTCTTTATCCTTATATATCCAAAATATTCGTCTGCCCTTTCAGAGCATCCACTGCCAGCACAGCCTTTGCTGTGCCTGCTCTCCCTGCACAGACCATCCCAACTGTTTCCTCATTCCCAGCCCACACTGCAGTCCAGCTGGCTTCTGGCACTCCCCATTTCCCATGCATCCAACTGAGATCCTCTGCCCCTTCTTGACAGTGGCCTCCTTGATGAATCTTCTCACAGTCTTGTCTGTCTTTCTACCTCTTATTCCTGGCAGGATCTTCAAAAACAGGAACAGTAACTGCAAGCACCAAAAAGAAAAAAAGAAAAGAAAAAAATCTTCCTGGATAGAATTCAGATGACAAAAAAATTACAAAAAAAGCCAACAGGCAAACAGTAGCCCTAATCCTTACCCCAGATTTGTAACTGACTTTAACAAGGATCAGATTCAGCATATAATATTTCTTTAAAAATACAGCTTTCTCCCCTACCTGTACTGTATTCCCTAATGTTGTGCTTTACATCGTGTACGGGGGAATCATTAGTCATAAAATCAATAAAGCTGCTAAGTAAGTAACATAATAAATTGTGGAGCACAGTTGTGCTCCATGTGCACAGATGTGTGACTGATACATCAGCTGTTAATTAATTTTGACTGTATCCTCTTTTCTTCTCCAGGAACAGTACCAGTTTCTGTACAAAGCTATTCTCAGCCTTGTCAGCACAAGGCAAGAAGAAAACCCTTCGGCATCTATGGACAGTAATGGCTCAGCTTTACCCGATGGAAACGCAGCTGAAAGTTTAGAATCTTTAGTTTAATTAACACATCAAATTAAACATACACATCACTACATCACACCAGTCACACCTGTAGTTTACCATTATTATTTTCAGTTTTATACTTTGGGTGGGGAAAATCTGTGCAGTCTCTCTATATATAATCAGATCCCAACCGTTGCTCAAAACAACAGTCTTTTCTGTTACATACAACTTTACTGTGGAACTCTTATCATTAACAATGTGTGCCTTTTCTTGAAAGATTACTTGTAATACATTGTTATGTCTGGACTAACTTGATTGACTTTTACAGTGTTTCTAAGAATTGAATTGTGGTATGATTTTTTCAGTATTAGTTTTTTGATTTATCTGGCTTTACTTTTAACTTAAAATTATCATATTTATAGATGTTAGGGAATCCTCAATTACAAACATGCAATGGGTTTAGTATTTGATCTATTTGCTGTATTTATAACAATTTACATTTGCTAGAAATATAACTTTTAATATAGTAGAATGTAAATAAAATACTGTTCTACATAACATTCAACATTTTAAGACTTCAATTAGACATTTAGAATAGTAATCTGATACTTACTGTAAATACTGCTACTTCTGTAGTGATCCATGGACCAAATTTATATTTATAATTGTAGATTTTTATATTTTACTACAGAGTCAGTTTTCTAGTTCTGTGTAATTGCCTTGTTAAAAAGTTGTAGTCAGTATGTTTTTATTTTAACAAAGTCTTCTGATATATAATTGTGCATCTTAAGCAATTTACCTTCATATAGCTGCATGTGATTTTAACTTTTTGTGGGAACTAGAAACCACTTGTTTTGAAATGAGAAGTTTTTATGAGAATAACACTGTATTTGGCATTGTTAAATTGTTTTTACCTATGGCATTGCAAAAAATAAATATAAATATTACAGTCTGTGCTGAGCGGTCTTTCATGTACAGTACAGTCCACTATACTTCCACACAGTCTTCACTGTCCTGTAGGAGAGCTTTTACTTACAAGAATAAGGACTTATCACTGACCTGCAGGCGGCTGCACTTCCCATGGAATCTGCAAGTTCAGGAGTCACTTACGGAAAACTTTCATATTATTTAATCTCTGCTCCACTCCCACCTGTACCCTCAATGCCCACATTAGCTCCTTCTTTGGCCTCTCCTTGCTCATCTCCCAGTCTGGTCACTCACAGGTTAATGGGCTATCCCAGGCCTCCTGATTGCCTTGGCTGCCCTCTCCCAAGACTTCTCCATGCTGACTGTTTCAGATCATTCATTCAGCTGCTGAGCTCTTTGCTGCCTCCTTTGGCAAGGCAACAGTCAAACTCTGGGAAGCAATAGAGCAAGTAGTCACTGAAAGAACAAAACATGTTTCAAGTTGGCCACTCAATTATTTTCTGTAAGCTTCTGAACTCAGAAAAGATAGTGATTGTACTGAAGGTTGCAGCACCGAGGAGGCTGGAGGAGAATAACATATTTGTTTAAAACAAACACAGGCTGTGAGAGGAACTATTTTCTCACTTTGGTATATACAGTTGCTACATAGAAAGACTGGGAACAGAGATACTGTTCTGGAGTAGAATGCCACAGAAACTAATGGACCCTATCTTAGATGAAAACTAAGCATAGGAAAAGATGAGCCTGATGTGGGCTTGGAGATTTTAGTTGACTGATTCCTAAACTAGGGTTGTATGAAGGATCTCAGCATGTCAGCAGATAGATCTAGACCCCCTCAGCAGTGTAGGATTGAGGATAGGTGAAGCTGCAACAAAGCTAAAATAAATTTAAGTTTAGAGAAATCTAAACAGCAGAAACTTTAAAAAATCCTCATACTGTTGATACATGAAACGAAGATGCTAGACCAGGAGACAGAACGGCACAGAATGACAGAATACCTAGCAGTAAGAGAGACTTTTTCATGCTCATCCTATTTTATTAAAAAATAAATAAAATCATGTAGACAAAACAGCGTATAACAGAATCACGGAGATGGTTAAGGTTGGATGGGACCACTGGAGGTCGTCTGGTCCATGTAACAGATAGGTGTTTTTTGGTAAAACTGTGGTACAATGTTAATGTGCTTAAATTCTCTTTTACACTTGACCACTTCTCTTTATAACCACAGCAGTGCAGTCCCAGAGGTTATGGAGTGGCTGAATACATTGATCTCAGGACCCCAGAGGTTCCCCCTTTCCTACCCCCCAGAGCTGCATGCAGAACGATTCTCCTGTCTCAGCCCAATGTCCCTGTGTGGGCACAGCCAGGGACCATGCAGGGCACACACACGTGCAAACACACACACACGCTCACACACAGGGAGACGCGCATGCATACACACACAGAGGACGGTAGAAACAGAATTCATGACACAGAGAATAGGACTAGAACTTAAGAAGGAAACAGGACAGAGGGCAGTGGTCAGGCACAGGGCAAAGTACTGCCCAGTAACTAGTCCACATACATCCAAACACCTTTTACCCTCTTCTCTCCTTTTTCCCATGCTTATTATTTCCCCATCCACATTGATCCCTCTGTTTCTTCAGCCTTCTCTATCTCTTTGTAGATAAACAACCTTCTTACCTAATTACCTTCATGGGTCTTAGTTTTCTTACAACCATATCCAAATATGTAATGTCAGATGCTGCCACTTAGATCATCTCAGCCATACATGGTACTACCAACAGTTCCCTAGTATTTCTGGCCTTTCAAGCTTTTCTTTCCAGAATGTCTCCAGCAGAGCTTGGCCTTCCCTCACATAACTCCCCATGAACCACCTGTGTGGTGCCACCAGACTTCATGTCATTCTTCTTAAAACCTGCCAGCTGCTTGCTCTTGCCTCTCCAGCAGCTTCCCCTCTGATGCCCAGCAGTTTCTCAGGATCTGTGCAGGTGGCTCAGCCTCAGGTCAGGGGTGCTAGCCATGTGCCTGCAGATAGCAGTACTCATCTCTTTAGTTCAAAGCCATAATTAGTTCATGGAATAACTCAGAGGGAACCTACTTTTCTAAGGCAGGACATCTTTATTCAAAATATAACATATAAAAATTTTACAACTTTTTTTTTTCCTGTGGTCCTTGGCATGCTTGCATATTTGCCAATTCTGAAGTTCAGGAAGAACAGGGCTGATATATGACTCCTAAGTGCAAGCAAACATGTGATGTATCCCTAGCTGAGTTAAATGCCTTTGAAGAATAGGATCTAGAATTATTGTCTTATAATATTTGTGGGGTTTGGGGGGGGGTGACAAGAGTTAAAAATGTACAGAATGGGTGCATTGTCCCAAATGACACACATTTTTGTAAGACTGTTGAATTACACATACACATTCTTCACAGTGTTCAGGCACAAAGTTGGTGCAGACAAAGGTGTTTAATGGTTGTGCTTTGAGAAAGGGAGTATCTTCTTTTTCCAAGTGGCCTGAGGGTTCTTTACCAGTTCCTTTAAAGCACTTAGGTTGGCTGACACACTCCCATTTGCACATCTGGTCTAACAGGGACAGCGATATTATACAGATTTGCTTTCTCATTCAAAAATTATACAATTTATGATTTCCTAATTGCTAGGGGTGCCTGTACGAGAGAAATTAATTGTGATTTTATGGCTATTTTCAAATCCTATTCCATAACCTTATTAGCGGATACTACTTCTGCACATTAGCACATAAAGAGGAACTATAGTGATCATGTGCTATTTCTTCAGCCTTTTCTTTTAAAGAAAACTGGCTTGTTGCCTCACATATCAAAATAAAAAGCATGAAATTATTTTTTATTAATGTATTTACAGTTTCATACAGTTGTATATAAAAAGTAAATTTTAGGCAAATTAATTCTACTATGTTTTTCAAGCCACTATGGACCAAAAGCAAAAAAGGACTCCTCCTTCCTAAAATCCAATCTTGATATAACTGTTCCTTTCAACCTAAATGTTTTGCAGACATTTTAAATTTATAATCCAAGGAATCAGCTGTCAGTCAAGGTTTCTTCTAGATGTTTGTAATCACATTCATCATCTTAGCATGCTGACAAGTTATTTAAAACATAAGTGCTTAGGATAATCTCTTTACTCACACATATTGGTTCTGATCTAGAAAAAAAATAAGAATCATAAAAAAAATCTTCTATAATCTTCAACTGTGATGGATTACAGATTTTAATAAATGCGTGTCAGTTCGTCTCTCAGACAAAGGCCATATTCTAATTAATTTTTTTTCTTGTAATCCAAGCTACAGACTCAAAAGACACATAGCCCGCCTTTTCAAACTGGGTCAAGTGTGGAGAAGATGTTATGTATCTCCTGCAAGAAGTAAGATAATAATAAACAACATCAGTTTAAGATCTATTTTTTTTTTACAAAGTTCCAAGTCATGTGTGACAAGGAAAACTTGATTAGTGGGCTTTCTCCTAAGAAATCATACGTGAGTAGAGGCTAAAAAAAGATTAAAAAAAGAAAACAAGTAATTTACTAATACCAAACATCACCAACTTTTTAGTGATTGTGATGCTGAGATTTAATACTTGTGGAAAAATTTTACAATGATCAGTAATAAGTGATCAACAGGAGTCATACAAACTCACTGCTATCAGTACAACAAATTAGCTAAAGACCTTAGTATGGACTTCAAAGATCAGCTGACAAAACTAGTTAGCAATGTTTATCACAGTGCTTTACCTGGCACAGTTTTTTGCTAAGTGCTAGGACAATGAGTAATTTCAGATGGGTTGAAATTTTCTGTGGTAAACACTTACTCCGAGGTGAGTTTAGCAAAGTTAAACTTGTTCCTCTCTTAATTGTTCTGAAGCATAAACAAAGCAGGGCTGGGGAGAAGAGGAGCAGTTAAAAACAGAAACAAAGACCCAACTACTAGCTGGGTCTCAAGTGTCTTGGGTTACAGTCTTAGTTTTCACTATTGCCCTGCAGCAAGCCTCAGGTCTGACCATCCACTTCTCATAGGTTTGTGCTTTGTTTGTTGGATTAGGATCTTTCAAAGGGACAAGAGGGAAGGCAAATCTCTCTCAGAACATTTGACCACGTTATGACTACTCCCTCTGTTTCCAAACTGCACTCTTTCCTTCCAGAGCCAAACCAAGTGGGCAATAAAACCTTTCGGTTTATGGAATTCATTTTCTTTTTTCAGGAAAGTCACAACTCTTACACTGTAATTTAGACAGAGTGTATTTGAGATGATCTGATTTGCCTTGATAAATTCTGCTGGACACTCAAAGCTAAATTTCTTTTTTTTTTCCCCCTCCTCTTCTTAGTTTTCCAGCATAATCAATTATTTGATTGATTTTTTTCCACCTTAAACAGCTACTGTGCTATGAGCTTACTCCCTTTGTCCAGTAGTGCCACTTTTGTACTCCAGTCCCTCAAAGGGGTATGATTCTCCCCTGTAGGAATATCTGAGGCTGAGAGAGTGTGAAACAGAGGCAAGAAAGGCAGCCTGAGTGTAATGGGGCTCGAGCACCTCCATCTCAGGAAGAAACTGGGATCTTACATGTCATGAAGAGCTGGCACTAGCATAAATTCCAAAATGAAAAAATGAGAGACACACAATGACAAACAACCTGTCCTTTGGAGCCAGATGTGAACAAAGAGCTTAAGAGCCTTTTGGCCCAGGTAGTGATAGCAAAGCCACGTATTCAGCTAAGCAAGGCCCTCAAGCTGAGACAGGCTGTGAGACACCATGCTTTCATGCCTTCCTGGGGCACAGGGAGATATCATACATCTGTTCTGTAGCTTTCCAGTTTAGTAGTTGTCCTTGTGCCCAAGAACAAAACTTACTAAGCAAAATTAATCTACTAAGATTATAGCTGAAAATGATGTCTGTATATACCTATGTATATATGTATACAATTATATAGATGGGGATGCTTAAACAATTTTTGAAGAATCTTCTCCTGTGTGTCTAGCAAGAAGTATGCCAACATATTTCATGCACATAGAAAATGTGTAGACACCCTTTCAATATAACCATCTATGTGAAAAACCAAATCCCATTCATGTGCATCTCATTAGACTGTAAAGATGACATGACAACAAAACAGAGGATTTCAAATTTATTTTTCAAGCAATCTTGTGTATTAGATACAATTATCTTTCCAATAATATGCAAAGAGAACTGAGAAGTATAATCTTCATACAAAAAGAATAATAAATTCATTTAAGTCTAAATGTAGAAAACAAAATGCAGCATTGCACTGGGAAACAGAAATATACTTCGATACAAAATGTTTCAAAAATAGTAGCAGTGTTTCTTGAAGGAAACACTGTAGTGCTCATTCTTTAGTGCTCTAAAAATATCAGATACTTCTAAAATTCCAATTTTCTTCGCATACTGCATTTCCAAGGCAGAAAAGCAAGTACAGTGTATGCACATATACAGAGTCACAACTCCATGGTTGTGTATTTGGGAGCTAAGGGGGGGGGGGGATCAGAGAATTCTAAAGTAAAATCCTGGTCTCACCAAGCACTGGGCTGGAAGGGACCAGCAGATGCAAGTATAACTTTAATCCTTAGCTGTAGGTCTTTAATCTACATGGAGAAGGAGGAGGCAACAGAGAGCAGAACATTCACTGCATTCATCCTTAGCCCAGCTGCCTACACTATCCATACAACAGACCAACAGCCTGTAAGGTCAGTGAGAAGTGAAGTAACTTTGTGGAGCCAGGATTTCGTCCAGTATATGCATGGCACTGTAACAGAATTTCATCTGATATATGCATGGCACTTTAACAGAATCCAAATTTGACATGACAAAAGCATTCAATGGTTCAGTATTCTCTTTGAGAATAATACTCTGCCATTCATTCTTCCTTCTCCCTTTGGCTCCTTTTACCTAACTATTGCAGCTGCTACTTCATTGCATTTACACAAAGGAAATCCAAATCCTGAGTAGCAAAATTTGGAGATCAAAACTTGAATTATTGCTATGGCTAATTTTCCTACTGTGCAAAACAACACCTGGAATTCCATCACCTCAGAACTGTAATTGCAGCACTATGGTTCTCAGGAGGTAAAAGGCTGTGCGTTTATCAGCAAAGTGCACTTGTGAGCAAAGTTGAAAGCAGATAGCTTCCAGCATCAGTATTCAGCTTTAGAAAAGGGAAGTTCTAGCCAGTTGCACAGGTACCAGTGCAAATACTATCTGCCCACAGCATTACACCTCACAGACCTAACTGTGAAGTTTAGGCCATGCTTGCATTGCAAGGTGGTGTAGAAATTCCTAAGCAAAAGCCAGAGAAGCAGCCCTGAACTGGAAGGAGGCAACTGCTGCTTTGTTACAGAGAAGCTGCACTTGGGCTAAAGTTCAGTTCTGGACTGATGTGGCTAAACTGCAGTTAGAGGGGGGCTGACACATCTGTGCAGCACAGCACTCAGCAGCAAGTGAGTTCGCCCACCAGCAAACTCCCATCAGTCTAAAGTGGCCCTGTACTGAGTAGTATGCATAGGCTCCCAAATGAATACTTGAAAAGCCTGATAGCAGAAGGGCATAAGCTAACTTAAAAAGTGGCAATTTAAAATTCTAAGCCTACTGCATTTCAAAGCTGCATATACCACACAATCTATTCCCTTTGTAACAGTACTTAACCTGGACAAGGCACACAGTGTAAGTGGAAGGACTAAACATCATTTGGAGCAGCTTCTAACCACATTAACTGTTGTATTTCTGTATTAACTGTAGAATGCCCTTCCTAGCTGCCTAACTGTTAATGTGCTCTCTCCACAGCACAAGGCAACATGAAACAGCAGGTATTTCAACATATTGCAACCAGCTTCCACTCTGTAACAGGAAAGGGTATGGGGAGGAAGCTTGCTTTAAACTTCCTCCCTCCTCCAATTAATTTAAATTTACACTCATTATAAATGGATTAAAAAAAATATTAAGATCTAGGTTTGAAATATTTAAGAACTGAACATTTTTAAGATTTAACAGGATCTTATTTGCTAGTAGTGCAGAATTTCTAAACTATTTCTTGCATATTGTTATTGTGAAAATATTCAAAAATACTGTTAAAGGGGAAGGAACAATCAGACTTAAAATTTTAAATATCACTTTCATCTCCATTATTCTGAAAAATTTTTACCACATGAACAAGCAAACTTCATCAACGGAATTCATTAACTAGACTTTTCCACCAAAAGAGAATCCACTAATAGATACTTCTTTCAGCTTAAATTTGTCTTAATAACCCTATACAGTTGGAAGATAAACTATAACAAAAAAAAAAAGAAAAAACAAACCTAACCCTTCCAAGATATTTTAGAAAAAGATCTAAGGAAAGACCTGATCAATGCTGAAACGCGTACATGAAAGCTTATCAATTTTCAGAGGAAAATACCAAAATTCATGAGTATCTACAGTTTCTACATCAAAGCAGGTTTTATGGAAGGCAACATCTGTGTATGAAATGGCAGGTGCTGCCTTTAGCTGGTTCAAATCAAGATTCTTAAAGGGGCGGCAGAGGTTGGAACCAAACAAAGCCAAGACCTGGTTACATCCACTGCTTCCAATTACTGTTTGATAACACTGTGAGTACTGTACACAATGCCTTCTGCCCGAACACGTTCAAGTATTGGTCCATAAACATTCTTCGTCAAGGGTATAACCATGCCTTTGGCAACTATTTCACCTGAAATAAAGGTAGAAAAAACCCATTGAGTTAGCCCAGAGTTAGGGCTCTACTAGGTTTACTCAGCAAGGCTTTGGTAACTTCAACGTGGGGCTTCTGAGGGCAAGATCAGGGTTGCTGTGCTGGACTCAACCAGCTCTGACCGCACAGCTGAGCCCCTTAGCCACAGATGAGGTGCCTCAGGGAAAACGTATTTAAGAAAGAGCAAAACACTGAATAGCAGTGAGGAAAGAAGTGTGAGAAACAGCCTTGCAACACCAATGTCAGAGCATGAGTGGGAGGAGGTGCTCCAGACACTGGATCAGAGTGTGATGAAGACTCTGCTAGAGCAGAGGAAAAGTAGGAGGAAGGAGCAGCAGAGAGAAGCAGTTATGGACTGCTCACAGGTCCCCATTTCACAGCTCCCTGCACTGCTCAGGAGAGAGGGAAGAAGTTAAGAAGTGAATGGAAAAGTGAATTTGAGCCTGGGAAAAGGAAGTTGTTGTTTTAATTTGTCTCTTTTTTTGCATTATCGAAACCTGTTTAATTAGAAATAAATTTTCTCCCAAGTTGAGCCTGTTTTACCTATGACAGTAAAGAGTAAGTCATCTCTGTCTTCATCTCAACTTATGAGCTTTTTCATCTTGTTTTCCCCCCATACTGTTGAGAAGGAGGAATGAGAGAGTGGCTGAGTCTGACGGTCAGTCAAGGGCAACCCAAATGCAAAGATTAATATGCAATTATATAAATTTTCATTTTTTTTCTTTTTGCATATATTTAAACATGTAGATCTATCAGTCCTGGCATTAGGTTCTCACACAGCATCAGTACTGTACCAAAATAAGGAAAAAAAGTTTGGAACACATTGTGGCATACACAGCTTGAACTTAATTCATAGAGCTGTGACACAGCAGCTGAAAAGCAGGTGAAAAGCATCTAAACCTTAAAAATTTGAGTTGCTGGGACTTCTTAAAATAAGAACAACAACAAAAACCCCATAGTTTTGCTTATTTTGGTTAGCCATGAGAAGAGCAATGTTCTAAAGATTAAGTGCAACCACAGGGAAATAATATTATTTCTTTCAACACAGTAATGACTAGGAAGTTTTCTTGTTTATATATATACAACATGATCAGGTAAGCCTCAAATTTCGTCAATCCCAAAACTAGCTAGTTTGTTCAGCACAGGTGTATGTTAACCTGTTTCACTGTGGCATAATCAATTGCAATTTATCATGCTAAAGGTTTCCCCTACACCAGTCTAAGATTAAATTGCTTAAAATCTTTATGGATTAAGTAGGAAATTAAGAGTTGTCACTGAACAACCAAACATGCAGATTAAAAATTCCTGTAAAGAAGACAGGAAGATTCTGATAAATTTTAAAAAAAATATACATGTATACACTTCAGAAACACTATATATCTGCTTTCTACAGCAGAAAGATACAGAAGGTTGCAATACTGTTACTGAAGTCAGAATAGCCACTTACCATCTAGAACCATCTTCGCAGCAATAGCTGTGGGGTATCCTACTGTTTTAGCCATTGCAGAATGTCCTTTGTTATCTCCATAGACAACCAGATCAACAAATTTGTCTTCCAAATGACCAGAAGGATGCCTGAGACCTATTTCATTTCTCATAATAATCATATCTCTCTCTCCAGTACCTAAGAGAAAAGGGCACAAACTGTATTTCAGGTACATCAAAATGAGATTCCTGAGGAGCCAGGCACTACACATAGACAGCATGTGTATCAAGAAAGTGACTGAAAGCAAGGACTATTAAGGAGGACAGAATACTAAGATGAAACTAAAACTGTAACAGGGAAAGAAAAGAATAAATTGGAGAAGTAAAGAACATCACAATACATTAAAAACCCTAACATGAAGGTTTATTAATGAAGGTGAGCAAACTAATCTATCTACAGCTGATAAAAATATGGACTTGCTCCACTCAAACACATGAGAATAATTTCTCACATACCAAAGGGCAACTTCATCTCCATGTGCTTTGCAAGAGCCCCCACAATGGAATCTGCTGCTGGAACTTGTTCATCTCCCAATAAACCTAGCCTGGCAGAAGAAATGAGAAAGGCTTATATCATTGCCTATCAACAGCTTCATCTCAGTTTTATCATTTCCAGCTTGTTCAGCATACCAGTTTAACAGTCTCAACATGAACCAAAATGGCTAGAATTGCAAACATTTTATTTTTTTTTTAAACGTCAAAAATCACTGGAACATTTTTACCATTCTACTGCCTCCAGCTGACTTTTATCCTTTTCCAGTTTGCTAAATACAGCTTCTTTAAGAACATGGTGCTCAACAGGAGACTTAATTCCAACCAGTTTGCACATGAGCTCTTTCTGCATTAAAAAAAAAAAAAAAAAAAAAGGTTCATGAAGATATTTTTTCCTACCTCTTTTCAGTCAAGGTTTTGGGAACCCACTGCTCCACTAAGCTCAGTTAAAATTCAGGACTTCTGACAAGACAGGTTATGTGTAAGGGAAAGTGAGAAAATGTGAAAATCTTAATCACGTCAGGTGAGAATAGGGTCTATCTTTTTGTAAAACACTTTGTACCCCACCCCTCAGCTGCTTCCCCCTACTTTTTAGTCTTATCAGTTCCTCTGGTAGTACAGAAAGAACATAGAAATCTGCATAAACAAGGAACAGTGGGAGGATGTTAGGATAAAAAAGAAGACAACTGGAGACTGCCATGATATCTTTCAGTTGGATTAGAAATTAAAAACGTCCTTCTCAAAATGAAGGAAACAGACTGATGAGATGAACAAGGCTCTGGCAATCCTGGGAGTATTACCAAAGAGCTTTCTTAAGATTTTTTTGCGTATCTGAAGGCCATTACTTAGATGCTAATTATTGCTTCCTTCATTCACAGCAAGACAGATAATAAAGAGAGCTACGAGCAAGATATGAAGCAAGAAAGAACTGCAGAGTCTCTTTAGAAGCTCAGGCTGGCCCATCTCTTCTGCTTCCCAGGCAGAGGAGATAAAGGGAAAATACCAAAATGTAAAAACCTTGCTAAGACAATGTTTGCAGTGAGAGTAATGAGTTTATAGTTATTTTCACAGATTACATAACACTCTATACTTATTCACTGAGGCTAGAAAGACTAGCCTCAAACTGAACCCTAAAATTCAAACTGGACAAAAATTATCAAAAAAAAAAAAAAGGTAGTTCTCATATGGCTGCCCAAAAACTCCTTGAGTTTGGGAAAATAAGAACTACTGTAAGTTAGTCAGAGACAAGGAAGACTTTGCCCTCTTGACCTTCTGCTTTCTTGGTTCCAAGAACAGTCAAGACATTCTTAACTGGAAATAATGACATCATCAGAAAAATACTGTGTTGTCCTCAGACCATTACACAGCACAAGCCTGGTATCTTTTTCCAGATTAGTGCTTAAAAAAGCACAAAGATGAAGACAGATCTGAATTTTGTTCACCTGAGTAATAAACAGTTATTCTCTCAGGGGTTTGCAAAAGCGAAGACAATTTTTCTCAGAAGGCAGACAAACAGACCGGGTAAGTAATAAGATCTCTTTACCCCATATTGAAATATGAAATTCCCTGCTTTTTCCACAGAGCCAACCAAAATGCTGATTGTCAAACGTAACAGCAGCACATCAGAGCAATGCCTTGGCTGCGATAAAGATGAAGGCAACCAAAATCAAGGCAGAAAAGCAGCATAACAGAAGACAAAAAAAATGCTGTCTGGAGTTTTAACAGAAAAATAATATTTTAATATACTCCTTTATGCACGATCTCTTATTTCTTGATGGCCTAAAACATACTTTTACACTGAAGATCATGTGCCAGTACCAATATGGACACCGCAAACTCACAGCACTGAAGGCTAGACTCTGAGTAACAGAAAATTTAAGACAATTTATAAAGACATGGCCATGGTTTTGTCTAGCTAAGTCCTGAAAGCCTCCAATGTCAGAGATTCCAAAGTCTCTCAGGGAACCTGTTCCAGCACTATATTACATTCCTACTGAAGAAAGTCTTCGAATTTCCAGGAACAAACATCAGAGAAGATCAGGATGCAATACAAGATTCAGAAATGCTAAGTACATCCAAGCCTAGCAGTAAGAAAACTATGGATAAAACACAGGAAAGAAGGTAGAGTAATCAGACTAACTTACCCAGGTTAGAGGTGGCGTGGTTGAGCTTAGCAAAGGGTAAGGATCTGGGTTAATTAATCCTAGTTTTACAAAGCCTCCCATAGTTTTGGAGTATCCCTGAAATAAAAAAATAACATCATTAAATATAATAAACACTCAAAAATGAGGTATTTGTCCTTCATTTGAATGTAATGATAGACAAAACCATGGCAGTGTTAAGTGTTATTCTCTTGGCAAGTTAGCCACAAAAAGTCAATGTCAGTGGGGTTACTGCCTTTCCCAGGCCCTCTCCACCCCTTCCCTACTTTTCAATCCCCTCTTTAATGACTTATTCTGTCATAAATACTTCCATGGCAAGTACCATTGGTTCCTGAGATCAAAGGGCTCAGCTGGCCAGCACTAGTTCAAAGTCCAGCACATCATTATAGGCAGGGTTGTATCAGCCAGCTGGCCCATAAACAAGCTACCAAACAGAGAGCCCAATGCTGAACTCTGCTCACTCCAGTCTTACACCACTGTGATTGTATCACAGATCAAATCAGATATACTGATTTTAAAGATAAGAATCCTGTGTGTTTGTTTCTCTCCTTCAGGAATATCAGAGAGACTACCAGGACGTATTTAAAAGGGTTTGACAGCAGTGGAATGGTACTGCAAAAGCAGCAATAGGCTGCACAATAAAAGAAGTCTCAATGGACTTCTGCTTACTTTTGTTTGTATGCCCTTAACACTGCCACACCTCTGCTGCATACCTGAAAACACTTACATGCAAGTGACTAGAAACACTTAAAAAGCAGAATGGTGGAAATAAAGCACTCTGAAAGAGGGCTAATTATAATTAGGAGCCACTTCCATCAGCACTAGGTTATCAGCTCAGATGGCCTTGCAGTGAGATCCTTCTGTGTGACACCTGTTTTTAAACTGAGTCCATTATCTTTCTAAACCTATTCTTTAAAAGGCACTTTGAGAAGATGATTGCTTCTGCCGCTGAACAGATTGCTTCCTGCTCTGTAGAACAGCAGCATGTGCAAAGGGCCAACAATACCTTCTGCCCTGCTCAGCACCACGTGCTGGGATGCAGGTACCACGCAGGTAGAGGTATGGCAAGCTCTTCCACACACCCCTACCAACATCACCCCAACCCAAAGTGCTGGGCCTGCTTTGAGCATTAAGAAAGCAGCACAAACAATAGAAACAGTACTCTTGCAGCACATTGACAACCACTCGTCATGTCACTCTGACATTTTTGCAGTTCCTTGTGCTAACACTTTTACAAAAGAAGAAAATTTTACCAGGCACCAAATGGAAGAGTAGATACTGTCATATTAGGACTCCATTATAAGATAGATGCCTTCCACATATTTTTAGCTTCTGAACAAGAGATTGTATCTAGACTGACAATAAGAGAGCTAGTGCAATTTGTAACTCTTATTCCCCCACACTGGCCTTACATCTTCTTTTGCTAAGCAAACCTCCCTCCCTCCCAGAAATAAAGAAAAAATCCTGTTGTATTACAACGAAGGAATTATGACAGAAAGGACATACACATTCCTCAGGCCATGGACAAATAACAGTAACTTAAACCTTGGTATCAACCATCATTCCAAAGACATGTTATGACATCCATAAAAGCTTTTTCAAACCTTCAATATGGCTTTAGATTTATTCCTTCATAACGTATATTGACTGACAATATAATTTAAAAAAAGGAAATCTGAAAGAAAAAAGATTCTGTTTTGATTCTGCTTTATGCACCTAACAAATGAAAGAAAAAGAGTCGATCAGCTAGAAGGCAAACACATTTATCTCTTAACATTTTACTTAGCTGGCCAAAACTATAAAGCTTCTGAAATTGAAGATGCCTAGTTACTTAATGAAAAACTTTCTCAGCTTCATGGAAAACCATAATTTTCTGTAAGATCTTTACATTATGTTTTTCATGGGAATATAAGCAACAAAACTGTAAATTCAAATTTTTATCAAATAAAGAGAATAGATCAATTCTTAAAACCACTTAAACCATCACATAAACCCACTAGAATTATTTAATTTTTTAAAAATCTTCTATTGATCTGACACCAAATACAGAGACAGACTATGCAAAGCCCACTGACCAGTTGCTTAAAATGAGTAAAACTTTTTTTCTGGTTTGCAACAAATACCTGTTAAATACAGCAAGTAAAGCTATATTTAAAAAAATGAGATATGTGCTTTGAGTTATCTCAACTGCAATAGTGAAGAGCTCATAAATAGCAAGTGCAGAGCTATAAAAGGCTGAGTTTTAAATACATAGTTTTCTTGAAATTACAACATTCATCTCTTGAGGAAAACAATAATTTCTAATAATAACACCAACAACTTACTTTGTATCTTAAGGTGCCTCTCAATAAAGTGTGAGCTGTCTGAATACCATATGGCTCAGCATATTTTGTACTATCTCTGTTAGGAAAACCTTCAAGATTTAATCCTGGGAAAAAATCCATTGGAGTGACAGAATCCAGTAATGCTCCTCCAGCTGGAATATTGATAATCTAAAGTTTTTGAAAGAGTAAATATGCACGTATTAATACACTTAATAATTAATATTATATTAAATAATTACTATAATATTAACAACAGTAAATAAGCAAGTATTATTTTGGGGCACTATTATTCAATTTATTTCAGAACACAAAAGATAAAGTATGCTCAAAAACAGAAGAAACATGCGTAGTGTTTCAGGTGCAAACAAAGGCCCAATCTAAATTGTGAAGGGAGACTGCCCCATATGCTCCCTGCTTTTTGGTCAAATCATTTATTATCTTGGGGGTTTTTTAAGCAGGAGGAGAAGGCAAATATAAACAGCATAGTGGGGGTGGTTTCTTCTCTTTTTAAAGATTAAAATAAAGATACGAAATTGCTGCCCATGTGTATCTTTACTTGAGGCTACAAAGCACAGAGAGAATACACTATTGAAGGGAAACAAAAAAAGACATTGACGAGGTCTATTATCACTCCCAGCCACAGCCTTGAACCCTGCTTCCTTCAAGCAGCTAATGCCCAGATCTGCTGTGCAGCATCAATGAAAACTCATTTTCTGACTTCTGAGCAAAGGGGCAAGGTATACTTCTAGAAGGAATACTAAAGCAATGAAGCCTGTAGCTATGCCAAAAGATCATCTTGTGTTTGCCAGACAAGACAGGTGTGTGAAAGAATCCTACACAATGGTCAGACAGATAAGCATTTAGTGGCAAGGAGAAAAAAATTGCAGAATTTACTGACAAGCTTTCCCAGTGCTCTCATAATGAATCATTCATATGTATGATCTAATTTTTCCTAGCAATAGGTGAACCAGATCAGAATTAAATCAGAAACATTTTCACATTTTCCATGAAACCCTTTCATCTTAAACTTCTAACTATGTGTTTTTACTTTTTAAATAATGATCCAATATACAATCCTTGAATTTCTCCTTTCTTACAGTAGAGCACCAGAATGTCATGATAAAACATCTCAAAAGATTTCTAAGTTTTGTAGATAAAAGAGTTTAGGTAATTAGCTAAACTTTGCAGTGGTTATACAAGGCAGTATTGCAGTAACTATTCTGAGCAAGTAACAGTAGAAACACAGTAGTAGAAACAGGAATCATGATGATGGCTTGCAATAGCTTTGCACAAATCAGTTACAATCTTTCCATAAAACAGATGCAGTGCCATTTGAGAGGTTGCACAAACAGATCATATATAAAACACATAAAAAACACTTCACAAAACCCACTCAGTACTACAGGTTGCACCAAAAGAAAAAGAAATCAAGAATTCTGCTATACACTGCACAATTACAAAATGAAGCTGTTTGGCTTAAAAACGTGACTAGACAGAAAAGAAAGTAGAAGGATGCACTCTCACTTTTGTTTCACAGGGTCAAAGACAGGGCAATTAAGTGGCAAAAGCAACACCCAACAGGTCTGGAAGTTGAACCCAGAATACCAACTCCAATCCAGTGCTTTAGTTATTAGAACACCTTCCCTCCTTGCAATCAGTTTCCATGTAGTAAGTAAGAATTAAGCTGATAGCAGTCAGTCACCATCATGGTCCAAATATGGGACTAAGTCATGTATGCAACTGGCTTAGGCACCTGACTGACACTGGCTTGAAAGTAAATAGCACCTTAAAAGTTCTAATTCCCTTCTTAGCCCAATACCACCTTCTTTGTCTGGTTTTAAATAAAAATATTCACATTATTTCACCTCTCCATCTTTTAAATATGTGGCAGACTGAACTGTATTCAGCAACACTCCTTGTGGACTCCAGCTGAACTTGTATCTCAGAGGATTGTCAGAGTGCTCCGGAGCTGGCAGGCCACCGCAGAAAGAAGTGTAGGATATAACCTGTCAGATTTATCCACAGGAAAGAAACAGTGAAGACAAGACAGACCAGGATGCAAATGGCATCCCCATTAGTTCTTAAAATTTCTATTGACATTATCCCCTAAATGGGTCAAATCAGAAGAATCTACAGTGAAAAGGGGAAAATAAAACAATTCCATTGAGAAACAGTGTCAAGCTGTCCTGCTGCAGACACTGTCCATAAAGGAGAGGAAACCAAAACATACACTGGGGTATGGCCATCTTAGTCGAAAAAGTAAAATGTCCAGCATCTGTCACATATCAGTTACACATTAGTAGCCACCAAATTCCAAGCACCAAAAAAAGTAAAATGTCCAGAGTCTGTTACACCTCAGTTGGGGTTAAAAAACCAACTTTACTAATAGAAATTTGGCAGAACTACCTGCTAACCTTACCGTAGCACCAACTTCTTTTGCCTTGTCAATGCATTCCATTGCCAACATATGGTCAAGACCAGGATCCAAACCCATTTCACTGACAACTGTAATACCAGCAGCTTCTACACTAAAAATAACAGAAACACAGAGTCGTCAGAATATTCATTATTATTACTGACCTTTTATTCCATAAATCTGTCCAACAAAGGCCCAGTGAATCTTCCCCAGAGTAAATTCTGGTCTCTATCTGCAGCTTGTGGAAAGCAAAAAAAACCAAAAGTAGATATTGAAACCTGAACAGTGACAACTGTCTAAGAGCTTTCTAACTTTTGATTCTCTTACTTCACTGCAAGACCTATGGGCTGGTGGAAAAAGAAATTCCTCCCAGCTACTCCACATCCCGCACTCTCCTGGACAGTGCTATAATGCAGGAAGGTAGTAATGCAGAGGGCAGCACAGAGATAGTCCTAATTGTCCTGAAGAGGTCCTGCAGGTGAGAGGGATTGAAAGGCCTACTTTCCCAAATTAAAAGTATTAGTTTTCTTTTTTTTTTTCTAGTAGGTGCCGTCGCTCTCAGAGGAGCTCACTTATCACCACAAACTGAGGATTTATTTTATTTTCAAAATCACTTTGTGTTTTGATAAATGACAAGTGCCTTTTCTTTTTTTTTTTTCTGAAAGCATGCCATGACGTCAGCAAGAAGGGGAGGAGGGCCCCTAAATCTACCTCCTTGTCTGCAACACTGGTTCTCTACCTGTCTAGCTTTTTCTGTTTTATCTTTTGTAAAGACACAGCATGTACAGTTCTCATCTCACTTGAATGTGCTTCAGATTTTCTGGTATCATGACTGAGAGGAGCACCTAGATGAAGCTCCATGCCAAAACAACTCCCAAGCACATAGTAAGTAGGACAACAGAAACATTACAATAGTTAGAGCTGTCACCAATTTGAGAATAATACAGTGTGCCTATCCAAAAGAAGGGCACGAAGAAGGAGATTACTGTAGATACAATAAGCCAAGAATGAGTTTTTATTAGGGGAAGGCAAAGGATGACAAACAAGCTTGCTGTTAGAATAGGACAGCCCACCTGCTCCAACTTGAACATCAGATGATCCTGACAGGTCTGAGGGGAGAGGAAAAGGAACATTAACATGAAATAAGATGATGCATGCAGGAAAGTACATTTCAGTGTTTAGAGCACTAGTATAATGAGGTTGGGGTATGCACTCATTGCTCCTCTCTGCCACATGCACCTTTAGGGAAAAGTACTTAGTCTTCCAGCACAGAAAGGAAAGGAGAAAAAACCACAGAAAACACTAATTCACACCAAGCATTGCAGGTGTAACAGACTGCAAAATATTCAGAAAATGCTAAAAAAGAAAGCAAAACCAAAGAGATGCTACTGTCACACCTACCTCTCCTGGAGTTCTTTCATAGCTGGTGTTAAGTAGCTGGCTGTTACCAAGTTCACTTTGTTCTCAATACATTTCTTAGCAACAAAAGGATGTGCTGAATAAGGCAGCAAACTACAAATGAAGGAGAATTATGCAACATCAAAATTCAACCAGTTACTTATGCTGTCACTAGAAAGACACTCACAAATGTTTTTTGTATGCCTACAAAAGAGCTCAAGTAATAGCTCAAAAAAACAGTCACACCCTGAGCAGTTTCATACCTACATAAGTGAAATACTACCCTATCAGGTCAGCATTGTTATATGCACTCAGAACAAGGCACCAAATAGTAGGGGAGTCATTTTTGAAACAGCATCTTTTGTCACGCTTCTCTGTAAAACACAAACCACTGACCTCTTTCCAAAGCCACCTTCTAAACAGGTACAGCTGCAAAACCACACCTGTGAAAGCTTGCATTACAAAGCTCTTGGTGAAGTACTTTGTGAAAAGCATGCTCTACATGGAATGAAAACAACACTCATGACATCCACGGCAAAAGAAACAGAAAGGTAAGGACTATGAAGTTATTTCCTTCCCTGTATCAATACCTGGGATTAATTCTTTCTTAATGGGATATTCAGGAGGAATGACCAAGGTGTCAGAATTTTGCCTCCTCTTGTGAACATGCACATTTGATCCCAGGGACACATATATTTGTGGATGCAACCGGCCCCTCACACAAATGCCTGTGAAGGGAGTCCACGTAACTAGTGGACACTTCTGAAGAGATGCTGCAGACAAAACCCCTTCTAAAGTTCTGATACCATGGTACATGAGAAGGCACTGGCCAGTTACAACTACTTACATGTACAAATATGACCCCAGTTCTTGGCCATTAAAAAAAAAGTTACTGTATTGATTTAGATCAGTCAACTAGGAGAAAGAAGCAGCATGACTTAGTTTTGAGCTTATCATGTTTTACACAGAATTCTGACCTGATCACGAGGTCATGTTTCTTCACCAGAGAGGACAGCTTTTCCTCACGCTTAAGGACATCCATATGAACTGAAGTAACATTGCTGTATTTTTTTGTCAGTTGCTCAAGTTGCTCCTTCATGACAGAAACTGTTTTAAAAGTAAAATGCATAAACCATTACCTAAAGACGAAGCTAAGTCCTAACTAAGCACACCCATGTATAATTGCACTATATTTCCCAAAGAAAAACTGTTACATGGATGTTTTCCTTCACTAATAGTTGAAGAGAAATCAGGCATAAAGCACTTTACTTCCCCTAAATAATCATTATCAATTGCCAGTGTCAAATCAGTTATAACTCAAGAATAAGAATCTAAAAGGATTACTTACTCTCAGAAGTAAAGAACCACTCACTGCTAAATTGTGTAATGAGAACAGACTTGCAACTTACTAGCAGCTTTGTTGGAGTACTTGACAAAAGTTTTAGCTGCAGTTTTCCTATCAGCAGACTAAGTCAACACAAAATATTCACACAAAACCAGAAGTTATCTCCCTTCTTTTCCACTTTAATGAAATATTGTATTGCACTGACTCTTGAGAGAAGATTGCAGCAGAAGAATTGTATGCCCAATATGTTTTAAAAGTAAACCATGTTTGGATTAGCATCATCCTGCCGAAAAACAACCATTTTCAATTAGTGTAACAATTTATCCTGAGGCCTAAAGTATTTTAGGTCACTATGTAGTACATATTTTTGCCTGGTTCTAAAATAGTTACTTCTCTAACCTGGCCAATTCAATTCAGAGGTGAAGTATTCAATCAGTTTTTGATGGTAGTATCTATTTCTGCAAAAGCTCAGACTACTTCACTGAAAAGCAAGAAGCTGACTAGAAGTCCAGGAGGGAAAAAAGCCTAAAGAGGAGAATTTATTTTTCTTTTTCAGGTTCTGCTTGGCTTAAGCGAGACAGGAAAACCTTAGCTAGTTTCAAGGTCTAGATGAACATGCAAGTTCGACGCAGCTAACTAACAGATTTAGTAAACAAACACATGCTTAGAAAAACTTACTCCATCCCTCATTCTACATAGCTGTACATTTATAGATAAATATGGTTTAAAAAGAAATCTTTCGAACACTCCGTTTTAATACACTTTAAGAGAATTCCTATTTACAATGAAGAACAGTTTAATAGTTTAAAGCAAAAACAATTCACATCATTCACCACTTTTAATGTAACAAAGATAGAAGCATTATGCTTTAGCTTAGGTCAAATATGACTAAAAGGCCCAGATTCAATCTGACTAGTTTTAATATTTCCCTATGGCTTAGTCTTACCAATCACGCATATGATAATATTATAACTAAAGGCGATAAATCCAGTGTCTGCCTGCCTTCATTTCCCTACCATTATAAGGAATGCAGAACTGAAAAAGAGATCCATGATAACGCAGCCAGTATTTGCCACATCTCACTGGTTTCCTGCCCCATCTCACCACGGCTGCCAGCACAAAACAGAGGGAACTCAGCCAGAAATAAGGAGTGGCCAAAGAAGGAGGTAGGTGGGGCACAGGGTTATGGAGAATTAAAAGCATCTGTGCCTCTAAGTTAGGGCCTTATTTCCTTATGACCTTTCCGCACTCAATGGGAAATAAAGATTGCTGGACTGTGATTCTCCACACTCTACTAGTAAAATTGTGCTGAGAAAAAGTGCTAGGCAAAATCATCCACAAATTCAAACTAAAAGAAGTTGATTACATGAAGGTTTCCCAATTAAGGTTTCCAATGTTTGGATTTAAAGTGGTGTAGCCTGACAGTAGGAAACCAAACATGGCACTGTGATGTGCATTTTGTGCTTTCTGCGCCTACTTGCCTCCTGTCAAATATTAAACAAGTAATATCTTTGTGTCTCTTTCCTTCCGAGTGTGAGCTGTAGAAATTGCATGTTTTTAAGCTACCCAGAGAAGAGGCACCTGCTATGTTTGCTCAGTGCTTGGCAAAACACATCTTCCAGTTCACCTAGTTTCCCTTCCTGCTACTGTACTGCAGGAACTAGATGCAGCCTCTGTACTGATGAGGGGATGTTCACTGCACATTGCTGTAATCCTTCCCTGTTTACCACCTCAGGCAGTACTGATAACGAGAGTGCAACTTTCCTAGAGTTCCCCACTTCTTCCTGGTAAATCTTCTCCCAGGGGTTAAAAGTACTATGGTTATCACCATGAAGGGTACCAAAAGCAGCCAAGTATGAAAATAGCATGAAGGGAAAAAAACAAACCAAGGTAACAACAAAAATCAACAGAAATATAACTGTAAGTTTTAAGTGAAACCACTTCCCAGTAAAGCATCTTTCAGGCAATACAGCCCTTGTTTTAAATCTGAAGTCACAGAATCAGGATAGTCATCATTAAGAGTACAGAAAATAGCTACTGAGATCCTCAGCCTGAAACATGCTACAGATAAAACCAAAACAGAGGAATAAAGAAGCAGGTATGTGGGGTTCATGGGAAGGTCAGAGAAGTTTTACCACCACGGCACTGGTTATAAAAACAGCAGAGACTTCACTCATACAGATGTCCATAAAAACATTTTCATCTTCTTGTTGTTTGAGGCTGAAAACACAGCCAAACACCAGCTGACTGACTAGCTACAAAAACAATCCCAAGCCTCAAGTAGGAAAAAATACCTCTAATTTCCCTACAGATTACACATGCAAACAGTAAATTTTAATGTGGCTATGTAATTTTCAAATCAATTATATAAACCCAAAATGCTCACAAAGCTACAAAATCCTTTTCTGCTGTGCATAATAACAAAGATTTTCTTTATCTGTTCTCAGTACAGCATCCATTTATTATTTATGAGAAAGGTTCTGCCACATTAGCAGGTTTCAGTAAGACACAATCTTGTAATGAAAATAAACAAATTCTTACATACCAACTGTGATGCCAATGTTGGAATCTCTAGTGAGATATTCAAGTACAGGGCCAGAAACATAGCCAGATCCGAGCAATAAAACCCTCTTCTTATCACCCATCTTTAGCGACTGAGCCTGTTCCCTAGAAGGTGTTACAGGCAAAATTAAAAACCACACAGAAGGAAACTGTAAGCTGCTAAGGTTAACAGAAGTATCTTTTAGTAAGTCTACAAACCAAGACCTCTATTCAGACCGAGAGTCAAGTTCCTGATTAACTGATCCAGCACCATTTAGTACTGCTTCCATTCTTCTGCTGCGTAACTTCTAATTTCTTTTCTCTAACATAAACATGACCAATCCATCAACATCTCTGCTGCTTCTTGAATTGTTAGTGGTTGTTCATCAAAATTTTCCTCAGTTGCATCTTTTCCAATGGCCAAATTCCTGTAACCTGATCACGGGAGGACCACCAAGCTGTCTATGTCATGCTGGGCTGTCAGAAAGGGATTTCAGTCTCTATCTAGCTCCCTTTACATCACAGGTAACTGTTAAAATACACAAAACCATTCTGGTGAAAGTGTGTTTTGTGTAAGTTGTACTAGGCTCATATTAGTCCATCATAGGAACGTGATAGTCAATAAAGGTCAAATAAAAGTTAATGCCCAATTAAGAAATCATCATTGCAGACAAGGACTCAGATTTGAAAATCATCATACAGTGTTTCAACCAAACTACTAGTACTCTCATAAATAAATTTAAGTAGATCTCCTGATGACTTTCAATATAAAATATATTCACATCAGATTTTGCATTTTATTTGCCAACTAGAATAATGTAATGTTGCAGTTGTTTAAATATGCTCTCAGAAACACATAAATTATAGTAGGAAAACACATTTTGGTTTTTTATAATTATTTTTCCTTTTAGCTTAAATTTGCACTAAGTTGTAAAACTTTCTAATCTATCTAAATTATTACTATAGATTGCTGTAAATTTTTACCTTCATAAAAGTTTTACAGATTTTATTTTTTTTATAGAAAGTCAAGTCATGATTTAATACATTCACAGAAAGTCTTCTAAGCCCATCACCCAAGGACTTTCCTACTACTACTACCTATTCTAATAGAATATCTTCCACAGCTACACACTCGTGGGCAGGGCAAGAGAAAAATACTTCTCTACCCTTCAGAGAGAAGAAGTGGTATGCAGCTTGGAGTGTTGATGAGTGGAAGGACTTCCTCTATGAAAGTGAGCTGAATTTCACAGTCAAACTTTTCGTATTTATTAAAAACTTTTCCAGTGTCTAGAATGAGGTCACACTTGGACCAAACACAGTATGTCTACTCTAGGACAGTCAAAAATGTGAGCTGCTAAATGACTCATCAATAGTGGGAACAGAATCTACATGGGTCCAGAAAAAAACATTTCAGATTATGCCTATTCTCTATATATGAGTTTAAATAATTCAGTTATATTGATCTATGAACAAATAACAGTAATACTGGAGGCCCACACTGTTAATGTGATATGCCATTGCAGCTGTGGATGGGAAACCAGTAGGAGTTAAGAAGTAAGTAAAGGTGTAAAGATGAAAATGAGTTTGGTAAATCAAAATGCTTCTGCATTCTAGTGGTACCCAAGGCAGTTCAGCTCATACAGTCTGACTGTCCTATGTCTGAAATGCTCATGGACTTGAAAGGGTATTAGCAATTAGTCTAAATAGAGCCCTCAAAAACTGAACTGGACACAGCATCATACTATGTTACAGTAATAACAAGGCACATCATTCCTACAGGCTTTAAACAAGAGCCTATCTCTACCTAAACCATCACACCTCAAGCAGTAAAACTCTGCTTTCATCTGCATCATCCCCAAAGTTTGCAAAGTAAAGGAGGGTATTATTAGCAGGTTCTGCTTTTCCAACAGCTAAGTGTACAATACCAATGAACAAATGAACATTACATACAGTACACACACAGATCTGCAGAAATATAAAAAATCTACCCACAAAAACCCCCTTTGGAATGAAGTCTCCAGATTCGCAGGGTAGTTTGCACAAGACCATGCAAGGGATTATAGAGGAAGCAAAAAAATTAGATCATTGGGCTGTGTGAGGAATAAGAAAATTTGCTATTGAGACAATATCTTGAGGGGGTCTCTCAAACAGCACATAACAAAAATCACTCTGAACTGAAGCCTCTGAGAAGAAAACAGCATGTTACTTTGTGTGGAAAATGCACCTACAGTACATCATGCACGTGTTCATGACCACAAATCTCAAAGTTCCCCAAAGAAAGTGGAGAGGTTTGGGATGCAGAAGTCAACACACTATGTTTTAGTGCATAATGCGTGCAGTGCTTATGGTCAGACCAATTTAAACTTTTATATCATGTACAGTGTAGCTCTCATTGACCATGTACGTGAAGCCAGAGGTACCCACTTACTGTCAAATTAACATTTTCCTTAGGTAAATTATAGATGCTTGTTAATAGCAGGGAGCAAAGGGAAGGGAAGGGATGTCCATGTTGTTTTTGTTAGCTTAATCCACTCAATGCTACCACTGGCAGATAACTACTGAGACAGGGTTTGGATGAAGTGGTAGCTAAAGTTGTAGCTGCAGGAATACAATGAAAGTCTGAGAGTCTCACAGAATCTCCTGAGTACATTCAGTCACAGAACAACACTACACAGCACAGCACTTGAGCCATACAAGATGTAACTAGATTCAAGGTATATTTAAGAGCCTTTTGCTTTCAGCCATTCCTTTCAAATGACTATATGTTACATCCATTTCAAAAGGACGAGTTACAGAGTAATACTGGTATGTGGCTGTTTTCTGCCTCTCTCTGGTAAAAAAGTTTTCATAACTCAAGAAAGAGAAAAACGATAATTTTCTCAACTTCAATATAAGTTATCAACACATGTTAATGATTTAGGCAATGTGCATGAAGAAACAGGGAAATCATCAAGCATCAAATTTAGACACAGTGCAATATTGATGCATTCCACTAAAACACAAGAGTAAATAAATACAAAAGGGGAGACAGAAGGCAGAAAAGGGGGGTGGGGGTGTAAAAAGCTATACATTACCTGCTCTCTCTCAGTTTCTGGATATATTGATACTTGGGTGTCAGTGAGCCATTGGATGCAATCACTGCCTGAAAGTACATGAAACAAATTTTGAGGGGTTTATGTATCTGTGTATTTCAAAGCAGAAGAGCGCCAAATTGAAAAACTTACATCTCGAACAACAGGTGAGTAATTCTGTTTTTCAAGAGGTTCTGAGCCTTCTGATGACAGCTGTGGAGATAAGTTATTTCAAATCAGGTCATTTATTACACATTATATTTTCAAAGTAAAACATCAAGATTTCAAGCAACATTTAAATGCATGCAACAATACCAATATCTTATAAATTTGAAATTCTTCTGGTCATACTCATGTCACTTGACTTTTAGGAAAATACAGGAATTCAAACAGCAGTCTGACTGTAAGTGAATGTTGAGTGCCCAAGAAAATCAGACTTAGACATTTACTGCAGGGTCCAGAAGGAATGAACTACCTGCCAGAGCCAGCTTCCTGCCTACAGAAAGTGTACTTGACAAATCCCTAAGACATCCAGGTCATTAATGTCTCGTTCATATTGTGTTTGAAAGGATTGACTTCAAAACCTTTTTTTCTTTTTTTGAAGTACAATGTCAGTTATGTTCTACAGCAGATTCCTTTTGAATGTATACAGGAGACCAGAAAAGTAATACACAACCAGACCAAAGTCCAAGTCTTTTACCTTCTTGTTGGACACACAAGACCTTACCATCTCTTCAATATATGGGAAAAGCATATCGCCAAAGTACTCTGTTGCTTCTATAGGAAGCTGAGCTGGCAGATTGTCAATGGAACACATTAGAATCCCCGAGCCTTCAACACTGAAAGAGAGAACACATCTCTTCTAAACTACTTATCAGTACCTGAAAGGTACCACCTTTCAGAAGTGTTCTAAGCACATGATTTTTCAATATAATATTTCACTGTAAAAATTACATTGGAAAGCAATAATAAGTAAGGGCTCTCCCACCTGTCATGAGTGATATGCTGGTCAGCATCATACATACAAAATGGATTCTCAATTGTTGTACACTCTGTCATAAATTCTATAGATCCTCCAGTGTCTGCTGAAATGTCACATATTGCCAGGAGTCTAAGTGATTAAACAAAAAAGACAATGGAATAAAGTATTATATAAATTACTAAGAAAGATAGGTATAAAAGGCCACAAGTGAACAGGAAATAAAAGAAATGTGAGAAAATGTATCTGACTTGTAGCTTCATTCATCTTAACCAATTTAGAAGTCAACAAAACACAAACAATGATATCTGGAAATGTAATGGAAATCTGGCCCTACTGTAGTCATCAGATTTGCATTCACATCAACAGCACTCATATTTCATGTGTAACTTCTCAAAGACTGGGAGAATCTGTTCATCCACCATTTTTTCTCTCTACTCCATGTACTGCCAACACCTCTCATTCATTATCCATCTCCCAAATCCCTCGAGCTGTCTCTGAGAAAGAAAGGCATCAAGAGTGGGCAGACAAGAGACAAAGACCCGATTCCTCACCAGAATACATTTATATGTCCTCCCCAATTCCATGACTGAGCCAGTCTCCCAGAGAGCTATTACACAGGGCTGTTAGACAAAGGGTGGCTCCCACCCCCAATGAAAGGAGAGTAACCCTTGATTTGCACCCCACACTCCAGCCTTAAAGCTGTTCAGGTTTGTGAACATTTCCACTATCTGCTGCAGAAATAAGAGGTGTTAAGGAACAGTTAATTGGACTTGTACAAGCTAAATGACACGGTAGGAAGAACTTTCCCAAAAACTCTGCTTGGGCAGAGAAACTTCTAGCAATATTGGAGCAGTAGGTACATTCCCAGATACCACACTGCTTATATTGGATTATGTACACGGATCAAGGGCAGAACTACCTCTGCAGAAAGACAGCTGATGCCTGTGAATCATTTGTACTATGACGTTTTCAAAAACTCCAAACTGTGAAAATAAGACTGCAAAGCACAAAAGAACAAAAGCACAGTCAATGGGGCACTGTAAAACATGCAAGAGGAACAAGGTAAGAAACATAATAATTTACTAGAAACTGTGGTGAAATTGCCTAACATTACGACTTAATCATGGTGCTGCATGATGAAATGAGGTGTCTTACTTGTGTGGTAACTCAGGACAGCCCTCCGTTGAACCATCAGCAGATCTAACTGGCACCAGCAGCTTCTGAGCATCCTGTCGACTTAGCAAACGAGGAGTATGTTGCTCCCAGTATATGCCATTAATTAAACAAGTTGTGTAGGGTGCAACCTGCAAAGAAAGTTACAGATGCCTGATGTTCTTATTTAGTACTTTAAGAAGCTGAAAGCCCCTGGTCTAGCATTTTAAGTTAATGTTCTCTCAAATGATGAATATGCAAAAGTTTAGTAACTACTAACACTCTCTGGAAAACCTTTCATAAAAGAACACAAGAGATGCTCACATCAATGTGAAAGCGAGAAGTGTAATTTTCTGGATGTTTATCATAGTCTACTGGATCATATATTCCATCGTGTTTCCTTACAAGATGATGGTGACGACTTAACACTGTCCCATAGACCTTTCTGATGTCTGAAGTTAAAAAAAAATAAAATAGCTGTTATACTTGCACAAAAAGGGTTCCAGTGTTTTCAAACACTTTATTGTCATAGCATACCTCCAGATCTGGAAACTTCCTTTAACTCATGTGGTTCCACAAACTCACATGGGAGGGCGTTGAACATTTCTTGAGCACCCTGAAACCATGAAGTATGATTTAGAATAAGCAGAGCATAAATGTAATGTAACACCACTTATTTGGTATTTGAAAACATATATAAAAATGCCACACACAATTTGACAGTCCTGCCAGAGAACATCTTCAGAGATGGACACACTGTTTAACATATACCCCTGCTTACCCAAAACCAAGCTGCCCAGGAAGCAAGAAATTTACATCATTCCACACTACTGCAAGACTGTCTAATACACAATCCAATGCCTGGTTCATGTTTCTAACGGCTGAGATGGGAGGCCTCAACTCAGCCACAATAGATAGTTTAACTGCACTCTGAGGAGCAGTTTCTCTTTAGGGAAGACCCCTGAAGCCACTCCTCATCAACCAGGCCAAGAACTACCAGATGACTTCCCCAGTGAGCTGTGATCACAAACATAAGCCTTTCAAACACATCATCTTTTTGTCTAGAAAGAACACATTTATGTGGTCAGTGATTTCACTTTATAGATGGAGCCTTGTTAACTGATCTTTGTTGCCAAAGCCAGGAATAAGCCTTTTCCCTATGTTACAGAAAATAGCTCTAAAGTCCAGCAAGCCAATTCAATGCTATACAGATATAAAACCTCAACAAATATTAGAAAAAATAACTCTTTCCCCCATACTTTATTAGGGTGCTTCAACATACCTTGTGAGACCAGAGAGAACAGTGGGAAGAGAGTGAGACAGAAATCATGCAGGGGGGAAAGGAGAGAGAAGCAGTAAGATTTAATCCATTTTCATGATAAGAAGTTAGTGTGTCAGCCTTGTCGGGCATGATCTCACCTTAAACATTTTAGTCTATGTTACTTAAAAACTCTTGCTAGAAAAGGAAAATGTGAAGTCCGAGCAATCAAAATGAACCCATCAGCCCATTTAACCTGACACTTATCAAATGCCAAGGATTTCTATTAACAATAATATAGCATTTCATTTTGAGGACAATTCTTACCTTAGAAACATTACCAGTGCCTGTAAACACAAATGTTAAGGGCCCCACTGACTTTGGCATCAATCCCAGTGATATTTCATATCCAGCATCCCGTACTGCCTGCACAGCCTGACTGCTATTCCTGTAGTTGTGTGCCATCCCAATGTGCTGAAATCAAAGGCACAGAACCATCAAGATATTTTCCACATTCGAATACAGATAAATAGCAGATGCCCAAATGTCATTTTGCTAAAGACAAAAATATACGCATATACTCTTACCATGAAGGGAGTGTGATGTCCCAGGGCTAAAAATCGTAAACCCAATCCATGTAGAATGTTGATCATTCCTGTTGTTAAAAAAAAAAAATAAAAATCAGACCATCAGTGTTACTTATGAATATGCAGTTAGAAACTGAAGAGATTGACTGAAGCCTAAAATCATCCTGGATCTTTTTCCAATGTTTTAATACTATACTTTACTTCTAAAGAAAGTCTAATAAAACCAGAGAAGGAGAAATTCAGCAGCCGTTCGTGACCTTACACCTGCTCTTGGCCCACCTTATGCATTTCAGCACCATTTAATACTCAGATATACTTTCATGAGATGCATCCACATCACCAGATTCCAAAGAAGGAGATAAGAGTCTTCTGAAGAAACAGAATTAAAGTTCAGTAGAAAGGAATGAGAACCGTGCCCCACAAAAATAAGTGTAAATGTATAACAGAGTGACAAACATGCTCTCAGGACTGACAGCAGCCTTTTTTCCCCAAAAACCTAGTAAGTTGATCTCTTGGTATTTCATCTGCTTCAAATTAGTTCAATGGACAAACAGGACTTCAAGACAACATAAAATATCAGATTTGTCAGGAATCCACAGGACTATTTGACACGTAGTCTCACGAAAGTAGGAAGAGCAAATCAGAGTGGAAAAAAGTTGTTAAAAGCAAGAATTAAAAATGCAATTAAAAACACACTGCAAGCCTCAACTTTTAGGAAACATAGAACAACCAGAAGTATTACAAGAAGTTACTTGTTGCAAGCCTGCCTTTACTTTATGCACTATACCTGCTACACCGGCCCACTTTCCAAAGGCCACAACTCGCATTCCTTTATGATCAACCATTTTTTCATAGTCAAACAGTCGAATTTCCTGAAAATACACAGCAAACTGAGTATCAAATTTTTCAGCGAATGCAGTCAGTGGCACATTGCTCTCCCAGGAGCTACCTTTTCACATGCTTTTGTCATCCTTCGTGTTAGAGATTGATGGGTAATATAAGAAAGGCAACTAAATCATAACAAGATTTAAGTATAAAAATAAAACCATAATGGCTGTGTTGAATTCTTATTTTAAAGAGTCTCTGCACTGCCTGTGCCCTCTGGCACAGAGCTTGCCAATGTGCCACTCCAGATGCTGCAGGCCCATTCATATCCTCTGCCAAAGGACTGCTCTTCTCTGAGTGAACTGTCTGCCTTCCTCTGTAACAACCAATACACACTCCAGCTTAGTAACTTTCCAACAACTCAGCGCTCAGATAGAAAGAGCCTCTCTTGAGCACACCGTGCTCACAACTCATCTGCCTTATGCGCATGAACAGAGTAACACTGCAAGCACAAGATTCTCTGAGCAAGAAATACTCAGCTCCAGGAAAGGATACTAAAAACAGTCTTCATTAGCCAAATGTGCTACTGGAATGCGTGTGCTGAAAGTAAGTGGACTAGGCAGCAAGCTCCTGATCACACTGAAGCACCACGTTCAGTTTCCACCTCATAATAACTGTCAAGGGTCTTTACTATGGCACAATTTACCTGTCTTAAAATCTCATCCAAAAGGGGCATGTTTGCCTCTTGGGCTTTAATAGTGTGAGAGAAGAAGGCATAGTTCTTTTTAGGGATTAATTTTTCCTCTGGAGGTCTCTTCACACCTATTATCAGAGAAGCCTCAGAAATATCTTCTTGAATAATGGCACCTGCTTTGATGTACTCCTAGGAAAGAGAAAAATCAAAGTAAATTTTTCTGTGCTTTTTCATATTCAGGTCTCAGCATATAAGCAACTAAAACAGAGGAAAAGTTGATAATTCTACAAAGCAGAAACAAGTAACTGCATGTGCTATACTCATAAATCTCTTTGATAAAGACGTATCAAGTATCATATTGAAATACCATACTGTTACCCTATTATACAAGGCCAAAACATAATTATGTGTTATTAAAATCCTTCATCTTAAATGTAAAAAATACTACAAAAATGATATTTTACTAAATTTAAAGTATCCTGTAGCATTGCAATAATGAACAGTCTTTTATAATGTGCTGAAATACTTGGAAATAATTTAGAGAAATATGACAAATTAATCTGAAGACTGATGACACATGATTTTATAAAATTGTATAAGGCTAAGTCCAAGCTGAAGAGCAACTTCTGAAGGAATATTTTTGCATAGTATGATCTGTGTTTTGGTGAAAACCAGTACTCTGCCTTAATTAAAAGGTGATATGTGCAAGTGATCACTAATTCCCTACTTTTGTTTCAATTTTTGTTTTCTCAGATATCTTACAGCAGACTACTACCACTGCTACAAGAACTGTAAAAGCTCTCTGTCCTCAAGCTCATAGTGTTAAAGAAAAAAACCCCTCTCTTCTCATTTTACATGAGGAATGGGATTGAAGCAAGAACAGGATTCACCAAATTTGTTCTTTTAAAAAAATATGAGGTTTTTTAGAGCTGTTGCCTTCGTACAAACAGAAGACAAAAGCACCAATGTTAAATGAATTCCCAAGTTTCTACTTCAAGAACAACTAGAACTTCTATGGAGACTGATGACAGGACAAGAAATCAATAAAACCAACTCCAAAACCCCACCACTCTGTCGACATTATATTGAAAGGCTAAACAAACTACTCCATTTTCTTTCTACTAGCACAGAATGACTCCTCATTTAACAACAACATTTACATGTTTATGTTTTATTTCTTTATATGTTTTCTCATTAATAGCCTCTGAGTATTATTTTTCCTGTACTATGGTTAATAACTGAACTATGGTTTTCCTTATTTCTCTCAAAATGGGACCTTACCTTTTCATGGATGGCTCTCCGGTTTGATGGCTGCACCAAGACCTTATATCCCATCTTTGTCAACTCCTTAACATGTTTTGGTGCTAGAGGTGCTCTTCTTTCCCATGCATTAATATCTTCCCTCCTGATTGCCAGCACAGACTTACGATGATGCCAACACTTAGTATGGTGGAATACACACCTACCATTTGTGTGACTAAAGGCTCGGAGCATGGTAAAGCCTGATGGCAGCAAAGACAAAGTAATAAAATAATACATGTACATGTATGATTCAAACACTTTTTGTGCAAAAGTTCTGGTCTCCTTTAGCATCTGCTGTAAAACATAAACCAGATACTTTATACTCTACTTACACCCTACTTTTGTGAAACATGAATTTACTTTCAGTGTGCTTTGGTGCATCTTGGTCTGATGGGGTGTCCTTACAGACAAATTTTCAATTTCACTAATTGTTTTTACTACTGTAAAGGAAGGCTTTTAATGTGTTCAATTCATCAAGTTTTTAATTACAAGGCTTAAAAAGAATGCTGGAAACTTAAAGTTACCAATTATATTGGTACCATAATATACCACCATTAACATGCAAAGGTCAAATACTTATCAAAGGCTTGTATCACAAACAGTCAGAAGTAACAACCACACAGAAAGAAAGCAGGACACAGGCTATAACGCAAGCAGTTATTAAAAGAGAAAACCCAATATGTAAGACCAACACTAAGTATTTTTACATAACTAATTCTTACATGAGCCAAATATGGAAGACAAGATCAAGGCCTTAACTACTGCTCGGCAGTCACCATATGTGTGGCCAGGAGCCCTAATACAAATTTTATGCAAAATGGAAAACCTTCATTTAGATAGATTCCCACTGCAGAGGAATATCCTTTTATTTTCTGTCTCCTCCTCTTCACTACCAGTGAAACATACATGCCACTACTTAGCTCTGCTGTAAATAGCAGGGGCTCTACTCAGGTCCAGCACCAAATATCCAGGAGCCTAAGGACTTAAAATACTTATGCAATTAGAAGATGTGGATCTCAAAGATAGAGGCTTCAAAAATGTGAACTTTGTTTCCAACTCAGTCTTAACTGATAATTACATTAATCTCTGTATCCAAATTGCTTGGAAAATCCTGTTCGTCCTCATGCCTCAAATTTGTAAAATCTCTATACACCTGAAGACTTAAGAGGTCCTGTTTAACTCCAGGCTTGCTGAAACAGAAAAACTGGCACACAAAGGAAGGCATGAACAGAGGCACAGAGTCATCTACATTAGCTCCAAGTGTGGTCTTCCTAGGATTGCTAGATATGTCTACCAGCAGAGGTTACTGTACAGAAGTTGGAGTTACTTTGTGACACTGCTTTTCAGCATAATAGGAGGATCCTCAAAGAGCATGTCAATACCTCTCAAAAACGAGGAAGCCTTGGCATGCCATGTCACTGTAACTGCACACTAAAATGTAACAGTAAGAGTAGCTTATAATCAACACACTGCATCTCATACCCAAACTTGCAGTGAAGCAAATTTCCCTCACACAGAGGCGTCCCACAAGAATAGAAGCGCCTCTTTTCAGCGGGAGTGCACTGCCCTGCCCTGAGACAGTGGGAGTCGGGGCAGTGAGCAAACAGCCGGGTGACCTCTGGCAGGCCAGAAGCTCGTCTATATGCCTCCCCGTGTGTGCTCAGGCTCAGCCACAGAGATACCCATATCCCGTTGTAAAAGTGAAAGTAACTTCAGCATTCCAAGCCTGCAGCGCTGGGGAACTCTCCCCGGCCTCCCCAGCACGCCGGGTGACGGCGGGGCCGCAGCGCCCGTGCCGGGTGCGCTTCACATCACTCCGAGCATCACTGAGGCTGAGCCAGCGCCGAGTAGCACAGCGAGGGGCCTCCCGCCAGCAGGGACCACGCGCGGGAGGGAAACAAATCCCACGGAGGGCGGCAGGGAAAGGCAAGGGAGCGGTCTCGGGCAGCGGGAGAAGCGGTGTGAGCGAGCGGCACCGGTCGCGGGAGGGCGGCGGGCACCGGGAAGCGCTCGCTGACACCGGGAGCGCCAGGCAGCGCCGTACCTACCTCGGGCAGCGGGGCAGCGGGAGGCACGGCCGGACAGTCCCGACCCCTCCTCCGGCCGATGTCCAGCGGCGCCACCGCCCCGCGCGGCAGCCAACCGCGAGCCGGCCGCGGGATACACCTCCCGCACCGCCAATGGCCGGGACACAGCGGCGTCATTTTCGCCGCAGCCACGCCCGCCCGGCGCCCCCCGTTCCTGCAAGGCCCAGCGCTTCAAGGAAATGCATGGAGAGAGAAGATATTTACGGGAACTGAGCAGGAACCATCCCGGCAGCTCGGAGGAACATGCGGAGGAGTAGGAGGCACTGCGCCTGAACTTAATGCTGCTCAGATCACGCTAGGAGGAAGCACTGTGCCTGAACTTAATGCTGCTCGGAAAGGACTTCTTTTGCCAAGAGTGTCAGCTGTGAACATTCCCTGGGAGTTTGGAACCTTTGCCAGGCCATGTGCCTTTCAAATGGGAATGTTACACAGATACCCTCCCCTATGTCGCATATTCTGGTTTGGCCACTAACTAAATGCTTAGAGCACTCTACTAGTAACTTGAGGGCTGTTTTGAAAGTTGCAGTGTCATTCAGAACATTGATTTAAAAGCATGTCTTAAGTGTAAGCACTAGTAAATTGGGGTTTCTAAGCCTCTTTCAGCTTTTTATGTTGGAAGCTCCTATCTGTAAATGACTACTTATAACTGAAGTGTCTCATATCTGAGTCACCACTGAATACCCTAACTACTGTGATGGTAATTAAAAACTTTGTACAAGTTCCTGTTGTCCTTTTTGAGTCCTGTGACATGATCTAGACATATACAGGATTGGTTCCTGTAGATGAGAAGGATAGGTTGATTCCTAATTATAGAGTGTTGTGTGGATATGTGTAGAATTGAAGCTCCAGTCAGCTCTGCAAGCACAGAGCTGGATTTTAAAAAACAGCAGCTAAAACCTTTTTTTAACACCAAAGCATTTCACTTTCAAAACATTTCTGTTTGAAAGAATTCTATTTTGAGATTCTTTCATGACTATATAAGAGTATTTTTTGTATAATTTGAAATTCTTGAGGTTTGTACATTTTAATTTACTGAGGTACATTTTAGTTTACATTTTAGAATGTTCTTCTAGGGAAATGAAGTTCCAGGCTGCGCCAAAGAAATCAGCAAACCAATGATCATCCATCTTTATTCATAGAGATGTACTTGGTGACTCTGGCTTTATCCAGCAGCACAATTCTAAGTGCAAGCAGGAGGAGCAGAATGAATAAGGACGTGACTTAGATACTCTACCAAAGTACCATTCGGAGAGTTGATTTCTGCCGCGGATTTGCCATCTCTCTGAAGGCAGATCAAGAGTTTTATTGGCATAATTTGATTCTCTTCCTGCATCTAAAACAGACCAGGTGAACTGCACTCTGAAAGTGCCTGTTGTGCTTCATAGAGAAAAAGGCAGCCTAAGTAACCAGCATGGACTCATGCTGTGATAATGTAAAGCCAGGTAAGATGCATCCCACCTGCACTGTACTGAGTTCCAGATAGGGAATGCAGAATGGCTTAAAAGGAATAAAACAAATCTGAAATTCAGACTTTACAAAACATGTTAATATGGAATTAGAGCTGTTTTCTGTGATAAATACCTCCTGGTTTGTGTGGACTGTGATTCCATCTGCCTGAAAAACCCTATTTATAAGGTCTAATTCTTACCCAGCTGGAATGCTTTTTACTCTGCACTGTGGGGGAAGTGCTGACTTCCATTATGGTAACAATAAACTCAGAACACCTAGAGAGAGGTGGACTTCATAGATTTTATTCTTAGAATATCAAGGATAAATCTTGAATCTGTTGAAGTCAATGAAAAACTCACACCAACTTCTGCTGAGCTAGGATTTCTCCCCAGGTCTTAAGTGAACTGGGGAATTGGCATCCTGAAGAGATTTTTGCGGACTGTGTATCTACCTGTCGAACTCCTGTTTCTCATTTAATTCTGATTTTATACTGCAGAGATCAAGAAGTTCCAAGAAGCTTTCAGGCTTTCAGTCAGAATAAGGCTATTGAAAAACATGACCTTTTATTCAAAAGCCACTACCTGCAGTGGCTGTTGACTGCTACTGTGAATGCTGACCTACCAGCAGAATACTAGACATCACTGAACAGCACAATGTTGTGTTCCTACAGTCATGTAGAGAATATATTTACATTCCTATTGCCAGCGGAGGAACTGCCTTCTCAGCATTCCCAAAGAAAGACCTTCTAATTTTAGTAACACCTAAGATGTGGGGTATATCTGTTCACATTTGTACACACTAGAATTCACAGTAGCATCATACATGTTCATGTTCACTGTAAAATTGGTACTTCTGTCTTCACAAGGCATGCTCGGATGGTTGCATCAAACTGAGATGCCTTTTTAAGTCATTCTCATAATCCTGAAGACCGCACATAAATATTTTGTGCAAATAAACCTAAACACAGAATATTACAGCCTGTGATATCAAATTAGTGAACTGACTCATTACAAGTACTAGGTTCATTGCAAGAAACCGCAGCAGCTCAGCTAAAATAACCTCTCTGAAACATACTTCCATAAAAATCTTATTTGGGTCTTATTAATTAGACTTACTGATGTTCACACTAGTAGGGCTTTCAAATCAATAACAATTTACTACTAAGTATGGATCCATGGTATGCATAAAATCAAAACTGGGGCCTTCTTTTGAGAGAATCAGGACTTAGTGCTTAAAGAGTCCATTAAAGCAATTATGCCACAGCTGCATTAAAAGTGCAACCTTGCTTCTTAAGTTCCTTCAGTAAATAATGGCTGTCACTGCCTTAGCTCCTGCATCTGAAGTTTTCAGAAAGTGTTGACATTCTTCTGAAAAAAATCACACAAAACTCAACAGATTTTTGCATTTATTTAGCACTTTACATTTCTGTACCACTAGTGTCTTTATCAATTTGCCAGTAGGAGAATGTATATTTTTCACATTTTAAAGCTGAGAAAAATGGCACAAAATTATGGTCCAGTCCATGATTCATATTCAGATCAATGTCAGCACAGTAGCTCAGGACTTCTTCACTAATGTTATTTTTGCAAGATTTCATGATTTTCAATGGATCTTTAAAATCAGAGATATAAAAATTATTTGAACAAGACCATGAAAATAGTAGGAAATATGTAACGTGTAGTGACAGGTTCTAGACCAGCACAACTATCTCTATAGCCATGAAATAAAACAGAACTGAACTAGTAAAAAAAAAAAAAGCTATTTCTCTTA